CCCCAAAACCCCAAAACCCCAAAACCCCAAAACCCCGTGGATCTAAATTAAAATTCTAGGATAAATGATTAATTTCTTAATGAAATAAATTTTATATAATATTTAGTCCTTTCCAACCTCTTTGTATAAGAGAAAAAGAAAGTAGGTTTTGATGCTTTTATAGCTGTTAGAAGCATTTCTGTATGTTTTATCATTGATTGAATATTTTATTATCTGTAGTATTATGAGCTTATTGAAGGCTGTGCTATTGAGATTGGTTCTGATCCATCTAATTGAAAATTTGCGGCTGCTGCATTTACTATTAATGTTGATACATTGCGTTTTAATTGTTCATATGCTAGTAATCATTCATGTTTGTTGGTTAAATAGAATTGTTACCTGGGTATTGCATATTCTAAGGAGGTTACATCATCATATTCATTGGCTGCATTCCTGGTCCCATCTACTGACCATATGCATTTTGGTTATATGTTGGTGGGTAGAGTGGGTTTCCATGCATGACCATGGGCTAGTTTATGTTACCTAATGCTGGATTCGGCATGAATCCCGGTTGATACATTCCTGGCTGACCCATAATTATTGGAACAGTAGTACCCATAACCATTTAATGAGCAGCTGGATTATTCAGAGCAACTTGCCTCATTATTTCTTAATCAGGAAGACCGACAATGCCTCTTTAAGTTGCTTTTTGAAATTCTGAATTAATTTTTCTATACTTAGGAGTTCTCTTCTTACATATAAGTCTATTCTTGTGGCATTTACACTTTAGTACTAAGATTCCATTTTAGAAATTATGCTTTTAGCATTAAGCACACCAGCAGCAAGAGGTCATTAGCAGGAAGAAACCTGAGAATGCTCCTATGATAACTCCAGCTATTCTACCATCTTCAAATAGATCATCATTTTCTGTGGAAGAGGAACTGCCATATCTCCTGAGATTTCTTCCATGTTTCCTTTAAAAAGATGAACTTTTATTTCTTGTTTGAGTCTCATTATTTAAAGCTTGTATTCTATCGCTATGCTTTTTAATTAAATCTTGCATATTAACTGGAAGACCATCTTTAGGCCTGCTTCTAAATTTCTCAAGAATTTCTTGTCTCTTTTGCGTTATATTTTGGCCTACCACTATTGAAGTGAAATAGGATAATGCCAGAATTCCAATCAATAAGGAACTGTAACTTATAAGCTTCATATTTAATAATTTTACAAAGTAATTATAAATAAATTTATTCTCATCCTAATTTACTTATACTTCATTTTATTCACTGTTATAATAGTTTAAAGCTATTATGGGGTTTTGGGGTTTTGGGGTTTTGGGG